TGAAAATCTTGAAAATAGACCATCTAGATAATGTGTTGCGAGATGCATTATTTATAGGGCTCAAAATCTTTTTTTTTTTTCATTTCCATATATCTAGTTGTCGAGATGATCAATTAAAGGGTTTTTCAACATTAAAACTATTTTTTCCCATGAATTTTTGAGGTGTATATGTAATTCTACATTTTAAGGTTGCAACCTTATATAAACTTTTTCTATATATGTATCACCTTTAGTATCAACCATTAGATCTGGCTAAGATGACTTGAGTCACAATGTCACAAACTAACTTTAACCATCGGATCTTGATCGGACGGCTCATAATTTTTATTTGTAATTTTAATTTTATTAATCATTTTAAAACAAAATATGGGACATAGATATAACAAGGGCGCACATGATAAAAAGAATAATAAAATATTTCGAAGATAAAAATTTTACCAAAATTGATCATTTATTTTTATAAAAAATATTTCCTAATTTTATGATGGAACATCCGAATTTTCATCCAAAAATACTTCGTAAAAAAAAAAACAGAAAAATAAAACAGTGTTAGGCATGACATTGAGATATGAACAATCGTAGTCGTTGGATTCAGATCGAACAACTAAGAAATAGGGTGACATATAACTTATGTGTAGTTGGGGTCTCATAAAACATTTCCCTTGTATAAAAACAACCTACGGCAGGTTATTTTAATCAAATAATATATATTTGACATGCCTTTTAAAAGGGGTGTCAAAAGTTAGCAAGCCATAAGCCAATTGAGACGCCTAACCTAGACCGTGCAAATAAAAATAGTGTAGATTAATGCAACTTTACTTCTATCCTTTTTTACGCTTTCATTTTAGTACTCTTATCTAGAAAACCTCATCATGAAAATTTTAGGCAAATTGGCCAAGCTTCAAAGGGGTCAAAGACTCAATTGCATCAGTGGTGACAACACCTGTTTGGGCACCTCCTAATAAATAATCAACAGCAATAGAACAGCATATACCTTTATGTTTTCTTCTGTTTAATGTAAGCTCCAAGCCACCATGCAGATAGCTCAAGCCAATTACGTGCCTCGACATGCAACGGAACATAAAGATGACCACAAACCAGATCTAAGACGTGCACCTTCACGACCGCTCACAGATACAAGCCAAGTATCAAGATCATGAAGCTCCATTCAGCAAATTGCACAAGTGAAAATGGAGAAGCCCACTTATTTGAGAGTGAAGTACATATTAACATAGAAAATTCAAAATTACTTATGATGTATCTACTACATTTACTACTTCCCGCTGCGGCTGCAAACTATCTGAAAACAAACGCGTTCATCCTCCTCTAGTGAAAGAGGTAACCCGCCTCTGCCTTCCTAAAACTCTCTCTCGGACTTTGATATCCAGAGGGAACTGTTAAAAGGGAAACAATGTCAAGACCAAAGGAGATGAGATTCTCAAGAGAATATAGGAACAAGATGGTACTAAAAAGTTAATGATTACTTCAAGCAAGATTCAACACACTGGCATCATCTACCCTCATTAAACCCAACCCAAAGAAAAGATCATACTAAGAAGTCAAGAAAGACTCCATTTTCGAGAGAGAGAGAGCTAAACATAAGAATAAAAATCAGCAAGAACACACGATATTGGCTTAGATATAGGATACATGTATAAAATGCAATACAATCAACGTACTTCATTTCCAAGGGAACAACAGACCAAAATAAGACCACACAACACAGACAACACACACATACATTTCAGTGAATGTTCTACCCACATGTAGGTGTCTATGCACAAGCGAACGTGACGGATAGAGACCCAAGCATTCACACATCATCAATTCCTTCCCATGTAATATTGTATTTTACTTTTTGGTCCTTAAGTCTATTTGTTCGTGAACTGCATGTACATGGCATGACCAAAGCACATTCGATGAATGCAGGTTTATATCTATTTTGTGTGGCATGAGACCCTTTATCCTGTAAGTTCCACCAATTATTTTCCAACCTGGGGGCTCCAAAACAAAACATTTAGACATCACTAATGACTGCTACAAACCAGGAAGAAACCTATGAAGACCTAGGATTCCTCTCTACTTGCACACCAGTACAACAGCCGCAAGCCACAGAGACCGTAACATCTTCCCCTTCAAGTTGGAAGCTATGCAATCATGGAGCAAACTCCATTATAGAAGCTTAAAGACATGTGCATTAGAGTGGTAGCCTCGAACAAAACATCACACACTATCAAATTTATAAACATTTCGCCCATTTCCCTGGCCCATCACACACTAATTCAGTAACTTCAAGTCCCAAGAGTTAAAAAGAAAAACTACGATCTCAAAGGAAAATGTTCCTTAGAAAGGTTAGGAGAAATGCAGACCATTGATGTTTGGGGAACAGGAAGCTTTGGAGGACAGGATGGAGTTTTTGAGTTTGAAGCATCAGGTATAGCAACAAGGTTGACATGTAGAATGCTTACAATTATGTAGAATAGCACTTATAAGGAGCAAATATTGGGTAAAGATCGGATTCAAGGTACGGGACATCTGCGGTACTTATATTCCCATTGTTTATTTCACTATTATGAGAAATGACAAATGAGTCCCAAGGTATTTAGGGAAGATGTCTCCCCTTCCCTCTTCACTAAACACATCGGAGACATCAGATATGGTTCTTAAAAGGGAAAAGATCCTGGGATGTAATAGCCTTGTAGTTGGGAGCCTTTTTATCCCTCATCATCTGACTACAGTTGAGAAAATAAGAAACTTGGTGTATTAAATGATCCCGCACCACAAGACGAAGTTTAGACCCAGAAGAATCATGTCCTTGCACTCCACAGGCAAACTTCCAAACAGTCCAGACATCCATCCCTCGTAGAAGGGGGTGGGATTGAAACGACCAAAATAAAATACAGCCAATAAGGATAGACCATAGACAGGCAGAATGGGATGAGTACAGACAGCCAAAAAGGTTAGACCATAGACAGGCAGAATGGGATGAGTATAGACAGCCAATAAGGTTAGACCATAGACAGGCAGAATGGCATAATTGGCACCTAAAGCATGCAAAAATCTCTATGTATTATCCAGCTCTAATTGAATATGCAACATATATGAACTGCAATGAACTTAACACCACGTACAAATGCCAAATGTCTGAAGCACTAAGACAAGCATTGAGGGGTTCAAAAGAACACATGCTGAAGCTTAGAGCTAATAACAGAAAGAAAATAATGGATTCACCAGACATTTCCAACATTCCTATTTTCTAATTGTTTTAAAGATGATCAACCGAAACAATGAGGCTTTAGAGAGGTCTAACTTGTCAATAGAGATGCCAATTATGCCGTTGCGAGAATGAAGATTTGGAGCGTGCAAGTAAAATTTGATTGAACTTGCTTCCCTACCATTCACTCATCCACCTAGTTATTTCAACTTCAGAAATAATTATCAATTCTCAAGGGAAAACAAGAAAGTTAATTTTCCAGGCCTCCATAATTGGCTGCTTTTCAATCACCTTCCCATGCATTTAGGGTTTATCATTTTGAACTTCTAGATATTTTGAAAGTTAGATCAATGTGGTCTTTTTGGTTGCAGAAATTGGATATTCATGTCATTTGTCCCTGTGTAGTTTTTGTCGTGGCTAATGTTTGGCAAGATGAAGAGCCAAGATGTAATAGTGACGAGGTTTCTTGAGAGTCAAGTTAGCTATTACAAATTTCATTTTTAAATATATTTAATGTATTTTGTAAAGACAAAGATGTTGAATTGACTTTTTCAAGGTTTTGTGAAAAGATCCTTTGGGGTGGATTGCCCAACAGACCCCCCAAGAGGATTTCTTTTTCATCTTTTTTTTTTTTTGGTATTCTCTGTTTCCTACATCATTTGGTATTAGAGCTTTAGAAAAATCCTTACCTCACAACACCACATAAATGATTACTGCAATTAAGGTTATGTAGCAACAATTTATGGAAAACCTAAATGAACTGAAGCAAAATCTAAACTACACAATGTGGAGCTCGAGAGAAGACTTTCAAGTACATTGAGAGTTTGAGTTAAGGCCCTCAAGTACGGATTGGCAAACTTTGGACTGATTAGAGATTAATCATAGTAGTGAAGTGCTCGGTCATGATCTAGTGAATTGAACATCAAACTAAATTGCAATTTCAAACTAAATTGCAATTTCAAACCAAAACCACGACAAATTCCAAAATCAATTATGAAGTGGAAGACACTGGATGTATCATGTTGATTACACAACCCTTTGAGCACAAAATAGAAATGAAGATCATAAACAATATTAGTTTAACTACAAATTCCGCCTTGCGTGTTTTATTATCTGATTGTTTGAAGTGGATGAAATGCCTAGAGGCCCTAGACAAATGGTGAGCCTCCATCACCAACTACTCAAGAGGTCTCTGTAGGATGTGATTACCCAACAAACTCAAGGTGAATCCTCTCCTAAGCTTAGGAGAATGAACAAGTTAGAGTTCATGTTTTGGATTTTTAAAACTTTTGAAATTAAGATCCATTGTTCCTTTTGTTTGCAGAGATCTTACAGGTACTTGTATCTTTTGTTTTTTTGTTCGAGTCCTTGTTCTTGCAGAAATTTTTGGGGCACTTTTGTCGCTACTAACATTTCACAAGATAAAGGGCTAGGATCAAATAATAGTGATCACATATCTTGAGAGCCAAGTTCGATATTCCAGTTTTTTTCTTCATAAATATACATAATTGTGAGGTTTTTTTCTTCATAAATATATATAATAATGTTTTGTAAAGATGAAGTTGAATTGAGTTTTTTTTGGAATATCGTAAAATTATTTTTTTGCAGTTCCCTTGCAGGCCGAGAGAGAGTTTCAAACCTCTCACCCTTTGGATGGACTCCCTGCAAACTAGAAGAGAGGGTATTTTCTCTTATCTTTTTTTGTTTTCATTTTTTTCTATTCTCTCTTTTTCCTACATCAGCTTCAATAAAATTAGCCCTGTCTAAGAAAAATTGACTTAGATAAATTGTATGCTCATCTAAACAAAGTAAAATATTTTGCACACTATTTGGGACAATTGCTACACATCCAACTCAATAAGTCATAAAAATTTCCGGATCAAGAACACTAAATGCAAATAGTTTGGTATTTTAGATAAATTGTACGCTAGAACCAATGTTTCAAAAAGCGGACCGCCCAGCGCCTGGGCGGTCACCGAGGCCGGCGGGTATCCTCGGGCGCCCGGGAACCAGCCTAGGCACCCGCCTGAATCTGCGTAAGCGACACCCCAGGGCCTGCACCCCGCTCAAGGGCAGATATGCCACTCGTTGAGGCCATTTTTGGGTCATTTTGGATCCTTTTTTTTAATACTAGAGGTGCAAAATTGTGGGTTTTAAGTTCATTTTGAACCTAAAACCCATTAGAGGCTATTTTAGAGAGAGACAAACCCAAAAAAAATAAAAATAAAACTACTGGGCTGCCCAGGTTCTAGTCGCCCGCCTAGGCACTGGGCACCCCCCTGACAGTCTAGGTGCTGCCTAGCCCTTTTTGAAACACTGGCTAGAACTTCATCTAAACAAGGCCAAATATTTTGCACATTATTTGGGACAATTGCTACACATCCAACTCAATAAGTCATGAAAGTTTCCAGATCAAGAGCATCAAATTCAAATAGTTTGGTATTATATAAGTAGATAGAACAAATGCACACAACGTAACACAATTGACTACCTTCTTTTACAGCTCATCTTTTAAGGAGTCAGTTTGGGTATCTTCCACAGAGTCAGTTTGGGAGACTGCTTCCCTGTTCTTCTGAATAAATTCAATGATATTCTCCTTTGATCTGTCCCCATCATATTCCACAAGTTTTCCACTAGCAGTTGAGAAATACAATGTTGGATAGCCTTTTATATCAAATGCATCTGAGGGGATATCATTTGCAGTTGAGTCCTGAAACAAGAAAACAAACATAAATCAGTTTTTTTTTTTTTGAGAATGTTTAACAAAAATCAGTTATTTTGTGACTAATTATATTTTATTGAATTATAAATGTGTGCGATTTACATGAATGAGCCTCAGACGAACAAGAGACAAACGTGAAGCAATTAAGCTCAAGGAATAAGTAGACAAGCGTCCAAACCATGGTCAACATACTGAGAACATATTTGAAAGAACTCCATGTCCAATAAAGTGAGTGGGTTCTTATAAGAGCAGAAGAGTGCAATAATAGCAGACTTGAAGAACATTGCCTAAAAAACATACAAGAGCAAAACTGGCCTAATAATGGAGTTGAAGACCATTACCCAAAAAACATAGGCAAACATGCATAAAACGTAAATCTTTTAGTTATCTAGTAAATATGCAAGTATGGAAGGAAGTAACTTTTACTAAAACTGCTTAGCAACCTTGAAAAATGGATTAAAAGAACAGATAGATAATTATCTAAACTAGAAGTCACCAATAATATTATGTTATCCCATCCATTTCAACACTAGTCTACATGCTACTCTACAACCTGCAAACATTAAGATGAAGTTCTAGTGTCGAAAACCTTATGATGGCTTAAAAATCTAATCTTCAATGCTAATTACAAAATTTAAAATTTCAAAAATAGTGCAGATTGAGCAAATCTATAAACTTTTAAAAAATTTGAAAATAGATGGTCCAAATAACTTTGTACAAGATATACCATGTTTAGAACTTGAAATTCCTACTTTTTCTTTATATCCATACATCTTAAGGTCGAGATGATCAATTGGAAGTTTTCAAACATTGGAACAGTCTTTTTCTACTAGAACTTTCAGGCACCTTACTTCTATAGTACAAGGTTGCAATCTTATATAAGCTCTTTTTTTTAAATAATGTTACCATAACCTTATCTAAACTTTTTTGCTTTAAAATGCATCCTCAAATGATACATTTCTTTCCATTTTGATGACTCAAATGATGCCTTTCTCTAACATATACAACTATCCAGAAGAATGGCACTACTGAGTTTATTTCATACTTGACGCCATAAAGGTCAAAGAAAATACCTCAATAGTTCAGAAAGACATAACAATGCAAGATAAAATATAACCTGGAAACGGGATTGGTTGAAGATTCAGAGAGAATTCTTTTATTGGTTACAGCAAAAAAATATTTGGTTTAAGACAGAAATACAAACTACAGAAACACGAGTAATTCTTATAGTGGATGCACTTCTCACAGCGCTACAGAACAGTGGTATAAGAGAAGCAAGCAAATCTAGAGGTGCATCACTCATATCGTGGCAAAACAAACTAGTGTGCCTCAAGAATGGTGGATTGCCACCATCTTTGCCTCCATAAAATGATATTCAGAATGCTTTATAAATTTGTCTGAAGCATTCATTTAGTAAGGCCTCCAAGAGGAACACCAATTATCAGATACAAGTTCTTGTCTATTCTAGTTAACATAGAATATTATTTGTTGAATGTGCTCAAGAGTTACAACATAATCATACTTCAAATGCACCAAGAAGATATAAAGAAACCCATCTACTGCCTAAAGAGGATTCTGATAGCCAATAACATCAATATTTCGAGCTATGAAATTAATGCCATACCACTCATTTCAATTACCTGAAAATTTTGAACTTTTAAGATTTGGTCAGCCACTACAATAAAGTATAACAGCAATGCTTATGAAGTTCAAATTTGATTCTTACAGATTTCCAGAGATCACTCACATTTATATAATAAACACAAACAACACTCCCAAGGAAAACACAGGTATATCCTCGTTAAACTCCAGGACAACAAACAGCCTTATGAAGAGAGTCCCAAACAGTGGTCAACTACAAACAATGTATATCCTCGTTAAACTCCAGGACAACAAACAGCCTCATGAAGACCCGCTTTACGATATCTCATGGCACTCTAAATGCACAGTTAACTAATCTAGGCAAACCAAACTTCAGTCATATACTAAGGTGCAAATTGGAATGACCACTAAACATGTTTATTCCATTTTGGGTCACCACACTTCTTGTAATTTCCTTGTTTATGAAATACAGTGAAACTCACTCAAACAAAAAAAAAAACATAATGGAAGAACTATTCCACAACTCGTTTGCCTATTACCATTTTCAAGCCCCCTTTGTTTGAGAAATTAAAAGGGCAAATAAGCCCCGAAACATATTTAACCTCATAACGAAAAATACTTGAGTTTGCCTTCTGCAGCATTTAATGCCAGTCATAATACAACTCCTCATTGAGTCCAAAAACGACCTAAAATACCAGAAAATTACATTTCAACATCAAGAAGGTATAACAGCAACTTTGACTGATTTGGCATAAGTCCTAACAACAACTTGTAGTGAAATTAGGCTGAAATACTTGGAGATCTGAAAGCTACTGTTTTCAATAATTCAATTCCAAAGCAGCACTTTCTTCAAAAAATCAAATAAAAAGACCTGCCGCTTAATACAGAAAGCGACCATGGTTTTTTATTTTAAAACCGATTAGCATTTCAATTCAGAAGGAAATATGCCCACAGTATGTTTGGTTCCCAGATTTCAGACGGTTTCCAGCTTGTGACACTTCAAAATTCAAAAACCCTTATTAATAAAACAGGTAGGGGCCTGTTATCCCCCACTGATTCACCCCAAAAAAACATTTCAAAAACACAGATTTCCCTTCATAGTGCAGAACCTACATGCTTAGAACATTAGATTCATGGATGGAAGAAAATACTACAAATTAAATGTTTATGGGGATGTTTAACATAGTAATAAATAATTAAATATAACATGTGCACATGTGCACGTGGTCATATAATGTAAACTAGCATGCACAGTAATATTGTACTTAAATGATTTTTCTAATACAAGCAATCATAATAATATGGCTGCTCATGCTCAAGATCGTACTAGCATAACAAAGACAATAGTTTTTATGCGATTGACTAGAAGAACGTGTTTTTCTTTTGCATTTAACTTTCTGGAGGGTAGAAACAATAGAAAAGAATTCCTAATTTTCTTGAGGGTTTGTCACATATCAGGCACAACCAATCAAAAGTCACTAGACTACTTAAAACAGACAGTAATCACACCAAACTATAACGCAAAGGAACTCCAAGAAAGAGCTATTTCATGATATAAACCATTCCATAATAAAAGCCAACTTACAATCTTGGCAATGACCACATCATGATCATTTTCAAATGAGACAGCAACTTCATCCAACACCGGAGCTAGTTTTTTGCAGTGTCCACACCAAGGTGCATAGAATTCAATCAATACTGCAAAATCACAAGTAAAACTGTCAATGGCCCATAATTTATAATACCAAGATCTAGACGAGATGAAAAGAGGAAACTCTTTGAAGAGCAGAAGGATAGCATGACAAAACATAAACCCACATTTAGCGAGGCAACCCATGACTTTAAAAATATAGAGGTGCGAATGCAAGCCAGTCTCTAATAAAACCATAAGCCATCGAATATGTATATAAAAAAAATCCCCCATAATGCCCTTACTCCTAAAAAACGTTGGTTCCACATACTATTCAGTGCAGTAAATTTAATCTTACAAGAAGGAACTCCGGTATCTACCATGTTCACTCAAATCACTAAATTTAGTGATTTTGATCACCTAGCTTTAATACCACCTTTATGCCAACATTTCCATATCAACACAGCTTGCACGTCTCAGATTCTGCAACTCCAAATGCCCATAGGCAAAAGGACATGGGCAGATTGGGGATTAGAACCATTAAGTTTGCTAATAAGGCTCACTTTTTTATTTTCATTGTTTTTGCAAATGAGGCTCTTTTCAGCAAGCAGCAATTGTAGAAGGTAAATATTGTTCAAATGGAGATTAGAAGGGCATCTTGAGGCCGGGTAGATATACTAGAACATATTGGTAACGATGAGGGTTAGAGGGCCCTGAGTTTTTAACGGAATTATGTTATGAGGATAGATTGACCAATGGGATCTCATTTTGAAGCAATAATTGGTGTAAGGATGGCACCTCACAAGCTTGCTTCTACAGACTTTCTTGTGCCTTAGCAGCATGAGATAAGGAGCACTATGAGAGACAAGGAGAACCAGTTGTGGAGTGCCCTAAGTTCCATAAGAATTTTAAGAATATGGTGTTTGTCAGTTAGAGTAGGCCTGCAGTCCTAGGCAGTCTTCACAAATTGTTCATCCCATCATCTGAGTAATAATAATAGAAATCGAGAAGCAAGGCACATGGAGTTTTCTTTATTAAATCCTTCTAAAGCATGCTGCAGCGTTTGACAGAAAAGCGACATTCGATGTGCACAGTTTGGGATATACCTCTGTCGCGAGTTTGCACCTTCTACTGGCTAGCAATCCTGCATTAGGCTGTCATCGATCACCTTCACCATTGGGGACACTTCCCAAACATTTGCCTTCATTGCAAGGACTACAAGTAGGGTATCAGCCATTCACTAGGGCAGAGTATGAGACTTCTTCTTTGAACCATTTAAGATTGGTTTTGGTTTGGTTATTCCAGTCTCGACAGCAATCCACACGGGCTCGACCACATCAGCTGTTTGATGACCGATCCTTCCCACCAGAAGACTGACAAAAAGATCATTTCTGGTGGGGATCTTTTGGGGCATACAAAAAGAGTATAATTGTATTCAATGGGAGCAGGTCCAGGACTTGATTGTTTCTAAGGGTCTTGTCCAATAGGAACACCATGGAATTAGAGCTTTGGATCTCAATCTTTGAGGAGTATGATAGCATGCAGTCTCAATTCAAGTAAATCCTAGCCCCTAGTAGTGCCTCTCAGATCTTTTTGAGAACTGTCCCCTTTGAAAGACTCAAAAATCATGGAAGGGATTCTCGACATCAGAAGTAAGGACAACATTATAATGTCACTAGAGGCCCCAATGTAAGGCCATCCCCCAAGCCACGATGAAAAGTTACTCCTCAAAAGGGGATGGTATTTTCTTGTTGCTTCTCTAACTTCTATTAGAGCCAGATAAGGCATATGCCTATCCATACATCTATAACACTCTTGATGCAACTTGATGTATGCCTCTAGTGAATATCCACTAAGTATAAAAAACAATAATAGTAGTTATAATACTAATTCAAACAGTTGCCTTAAGTACCAGAAAGAAATCATGGCAGCTTGTATTTAATAAAATGCGTGATATATATACATACAATAACAAATTACAAATTGCAACACTATACAGCAGAATTGAACAGGCATTTGATCATTCATGCAAATTCACATAAAAGTTTACCCTAAATGTGTCAATGTACAAGCAAAACGTTGATGATGTTTGGTTCTTTGGACATCAGATAAAATCAAACAATTTTTTAATGCTTTTGTTTATCATAAGATATACAGAGAGGTATGTTCGTCATTTTAGCAAAGCAACAGAAGCACAGCTTTGCAATCATAATGATTTTGCAACAAAGTCAAAAGTTACAGAGGAGAAGAAATGTTCATAGTTGCTCCTGCACACAATTTAGAGTTATGCATGCATACAAGGGAGGGATAGATAAAAAGCATAAACAAAAGATCATTCCCATAAGAAAACCAGAGAGATGAACAATGGCCACCACTTGCCAGAACTAACTAAATAACAGCCACACCACACCATGTGAGAGAATAAATTGCAGATTTGTACAAACCTTCTAAAAGACATCTTAATGAGATACAAATCCAGAGGATATATCATCCATAATAGACCTGGTTCAATATCGTATAACTGCATATAGATCTGATAAAAAATACATATTTGTACAAAACTTCCAAAATGGCATCTTAATGAGACACAAATCTAGAGGATATATCAGCTATAACAGACCTGGATCAATATCATATGACAGTGGATAGATCTGATAAAAATACTTGACATTTTGACAATAGAACTTTAACTTAGTCATTTATGAGAAGAGGTCTAACTAAGATTTATACCAAAGAAAAGGAAGACGAAAAACCACTAATCTTTACAATATGCATTTACTGATAAAGATTCAGAATGAGTACTGCACCATTTTTCCCAGGGTTGAGGACCATTTCTTGGAAACTGTCACCCACAACAACCTTAACGGGCTCATTGTTAACTTCAGGAATAGGTTCTGATTTTGTGAATGGTTTTACACTGCCATCCTGAAATTACATTTGTTGTTTGTCATATAAAACTTAAGAATGGTTCAGGACGTTATCTATAACAAAAAAATAGTTATTGAGGCCCACACTATAAATTGAGAACCAGGAATGTAGAAACTCAAATTTACAGTTGAAAATGAAGTATTTATAAAGCAAAAGTAGCAACTGCAGCAATGTGCAATTAAGAAAAAGAAGACATACCATGTAATCCTTCAACCAAGGAGTAATATGATCTGCCTCTAGTTTCTCTTTTAGGAACTTCTGCCCTTTTTTATTTTGTATGATGATGAGAGGAACTTGATCTTCTTGAAGACCAAAGTACTGTCAGTCAAGCAACATGACAAACGATGTCAAGCCAAACACAACTAACAACATTAAAATACAAAATACCAGTGCAGTATGTAGTAGAAAAAGATAGCTATGAAAAATACCTGAAAAGCCCCTTGACTGGATTCAACATCACCAAGAAGAAAGCTAACACCCTTTCCTTTGTAATGCCTAGCAACATCATGATATTTTGATTTAAGGGCCTCAAAATCATCACTGCTGAAGTTCGTAAAAAGCATGGCCTATGCATAGGATCATTTCCAAAAAAAACAACCAGGGCAAGTTAACTTATGTTTTCTAAATAGTTACCCTAGTTAGCTAACTGACACCACTAATATATAAGAAATAAATATCTGAGAAAAGGTTTATAGGATGAGATGACCTAGTGTGAAACATACAACGATGAGAATATGGCACGATGACCTAGTTATCGAATGAAACATACAACGATGAGAATATAGTGAATATTCCAGCCGACTGAGATTTGACAGATTAAAGCACTAGAACTAGATGCTCTTGGAAAAGAATGGAGAATGCACAAGAACGACATGCCAGATGATGGAATGCAAGCCCTTGCAAACAGTGATATAGTTTAATATTCCAAGAAATGATTTGAGTTTGTTTCACAAACTTTATATTCCTTCAATTCTAAAATGCCCCTATGCAGAAAGTGAAGTCCAGCAATGAAGAAAAATTATTATTTGTATGAAAATGTTCCCAATCACTATAAAAGCAAGAAAGAATGAAAGCTCACCTAAATTCAATCTGTGTTTTGACGAGAACAGAATGTGAGTTGTTCATGATATATTATGTTAAAATAAAGAAAAATGATACAAACAAAACATGAGACAAGGATGTAACTGCAATAAACTTAGACTGTTGTCACAGTTCTGATAGAATAGTGTTACCTTGTCATTCTGAGAGTTGAAAAACTTTGCAACAAACGGGTGGTTGCTGGGATCTTTGTTAAAAATAGTTGTGAGCGGCAAACTTGCCTCCTCAACAAACTTTTCCATGGCATGAACATGGAAATCCTGTGAGCAATGTGCAGAAGTACAATATAAGTAGCCATGCAACCTCAAAGAATGAAAAAGCATGCCCTAATTTCAAGACATCACCAAAAAAAAAAAAGGAACCCTCTAGCCTCAATAGAGAAAAGAGAAGTACAATATAAGTAGCCATGCAACCTCAAAGAAGGAAAAAACATGCCCCAATTCAAGACATCACCAAAAAGAAAAAGAAACCTCTAGCATCAACAAAACCAAGGAGAAAAGAGACTGTGTAGAACACTAGGGCACAAAAAGATCAACACAAACCTTGCAATCAACAAAGAGTTCATCAAATGGCTTGAACAACCTCACCACAGGGGACTTAATTGTAGCATCCCCTCGTGGAAGGAGCTTTGCATCCAAGGCATGAGCAAAATCATAATCAGAACGCAACTTCTCTGAAAGGGCAGTAAAGTTTTCAAACTCCTCTCCCTCAAACTTGGAGAACACCCCTACCTGCAGGAAGGCTTATCAATTCAAATATTTCATAAAATTACGTGCTAATTGAAAAGAAGAAGAGGAAGAAGAAGAAGTGGAGAAAGAGGATGGCGGGTTTACGATGATAATTTTCTTGTCATCGATAAGGGTGGTAGCATCTTCTGAGGATTTTATTTCAGCAGATGCAGGACCAGCTTGTTTCTTCAGATAGTTAATTATGCCCTCGGCATCTCGTGGCCCCTTGTACTCTTGAACAGATGCTCCCCCCTTTCTTAAAATTTTCAGGGTTGGGAATCCCTTCACATCATATTCAGTAGCGAGTTCTTTATTGACTTCATCATTAGCATCAACCTTAGCCAAAGTAATTGAAGGGTCATTATTTCTCAGCACCGCAGCAGCTTTTTCATACTGTGAGTCATGGAGCAACAATCACCATTAACATTCGAAATCACCATGAGCAACCAAGTTGCAGGGGAGACTCTAAAACATCATTTGTCATGAACGGGAATAGACTCTAAACAGTCAATAGTCAGACATGATAAAGTGGATGCAAAAATGAAAGCATGGACAGTTAAAAAGTATTAAGGAGAAGATGAGCAATAATTCTTGAGAAATGATTACCTCAGGTGCGAGATTCTTACAGTGCCCACACCTGTTTGGAGCAAAAAAGATATTAGACACCAAGGGCATGAAGGGATACAAAAAGTTCAACAGTAAAGTTCACAATCAACAAAAACAGCATGGTAAAGCATGTAAGATATGTGATTGAAATAAAAGGGGAAAAAAAAAAGAAGCAAAGCTGTCAACTTGAATTGTTTAAAAAGTAAGTAACAAATAAGGCCCTGCTCACTTTCAGTAGACGCATGCACATGAATTGTTTGAAAGTAACTCACTAGAGAAAAAAGCGTAATTGACAACACTCATAAGATAGACTACACAGCAATACAAAGAACTGAAACTTGTAGCAATTTCCAAGAATTTTCAACAACATCTCTACCAAGCAGGTTAAGCAGCATGCAACTTCTTTTCCATTTCAATGAGAAAGAACAACTAGAATGGCACACAGTTCCCCATGTTTAAATTAAGATTTCACCAAGGTGGATTTCCAAAACATCAGAGATCAACCCAACAAACATCGACCGATAAATCATTAGAGCCTAGGAAATACGAAATATGAAATGAGAAACTTGCTTGATCCATAAAGATAAAAAATTACTGTAATTAGATATTTCAACTAAACACTCCTGAAACTCCTTAATAGTAAAATTGGGATAAAAAACAAAAAGTAACAATCAAACTGGCCATATCAGCAATGTGATAGAAATCAAAATGTGAATTAAGGGAAAAAGGACCTCTAAAATGAGAAAAAAGGAAGCAAGCAGATCCAAAGGCCGTTAGACCTGGTTGCATGTAACAATAATACAGTAATCCAAATATCTTAACGGAAAAAACAAGCAAACGGGCAAACAGCTTGGCAGAAAAGTAATTAATCTCAGAATATAAATCCAGAGTTTCAGAACTTTATATAGAGATTTTTGGTTCCTCAAGTGAAAACCATTTGCCTAGCTTTTCCAAGCTCATATTTTGCATGGCATCGCATATGAAAAATGGGGAAAGATGAACACCACAGCAAATAAATGAGAAGAGAAATGTCAAAAAAAAAGCGCAGAGAAAGAGAGAACTGGTGCAAACTTTCTAAAAAATCCAACACAGTTGACATCCTAAAGACTAAAACAAAGCAAAGCACATGCATAGACACATCTTCGCAAAATGCAGCATATCACCAGAACAAATCATAAGTCCAAAATTACAGTCAAAATCCCAAACCAGAACCTAATTAACACAACCATTTTCGCATCATTCATTCCTAAGATGGGAAGAGTATGAATACCATGGGGCATAGAACTCCACAACCACGAAATCATGCTTCTTCACTGTCGCAGAGAAGTTACTCGCGTCAAGAGTAACAACGAACTCTGGAGCTGCTTCTTCAGTAGACGGAGCTGCTTCTTCAGTAGACGGAGCTGCTTCTTCAGCAGAAGCAATGGATGAAACAAGGAAGAAAATCAAGGTTACAGAGAACCAGTTCCAAACCCTAGCCATTCCTGCTACCTTCGTCAGAACAGTGTCTGAAATCTACCCTCTCTCTCTCTCTCTACTTTCTCTCCAATGGGTTCTCTCTACTTTCTTTCTCTCCTGGATTTCCTGCGCTTCCCTATTAATAATCTCACTCTTCGCAAATCCCTAAATCGGAATCGATGCGTGGCCTGACCAATCAGATCAAAGGAAATGGCAAGTGGCTTTGAATAACATAATTTGTCTAAAGTCACCTATATAATGACGAATTAGGGCATAAAATGCCCTAGTTAGTCAATAAATTTATTTGTTCATTAAAAAAAACTTTATTTAATTGTTCTCAGAATTGCCCAATGTGGATCTAAATATTACTCCTCTACTTCCATGAGAATAAGGAGTTCTATTTATACAAAATTTATTCGCTCATGAAGCAAAAATCCATGTTCAATCTTAATTATAAAATTTAAAATATCAACGACCTTACAGATTAAGCACATTTGTAAACACTTGAAAGTTTTGAAATAGATGTATGAAATAACTTGTTATAAAATATTTCAATTAAGTTGTTACAAGATATACAATTTTTAAGACTCAAAATTCTTTATTTTTTTAATATATATACGTCTCGAAGTCAAAATGATTAATTTAAAAGTTTTCCAACTTCGGAACCCAATTTTCTAATAGAGTTTTGAGGTACACCTTGCTTCTATAGTATAAGGTTGCAACCTTATATAAACTTTTCCCTCTTACTTACTTTCACCCGAATAGTATTCGGGTCTAAAATTCGGACCCATCGAGTCCCAAGTCTACTCGTTAGGTCTTGAGTCTAGTCGGAATCCATTGCCAACCTATGATTATGAGCTTCTATTTTTTTGCCCATTTTTTACCCTATGGCTATGAGGCCCCTTTTTTCTTTCAATAATACTTTAAAATTTACCAATATTGGGACAATATGAACACTTGGCATGCGCTTAAAGACACAAGATTGCTATCAGACACCTATGACTACGGATACATATCGGGTCCGGCTAGACCCAAATTTGAACCCGAATAGTATTTTGATCTAAAATTTGAACCCATACCCAAACCTGATCAGATATACCCAAAAGATCCTAGGTCTACTCGGGTCCATTGCCACCCAAATAATATACGATACTCGAAAGATGCCAAAAACATGGATCTAATGCTCTTGTTTGATATGAAGTTTGTGAACATGAGAAAAATATGATTCGTTTTTTTATATTTTTTATAAAATTTATCAAATTATATATGAGAAATAAATAATTTAATACCTACCTACATCTTTTGATTTAATTTTAAAATACTTATAAGAAACGCATGATCTTGAAATACTTATAAGAAACGCATGATCTTGGGCTGTAATAATTCGAAATTGAATGGTTCATCTCTCTTAGGTAATTTGATAAATTTTCCTTTTTGTTTTCTTGAATGAGGTGTCACTAAAACCACGTGGTCGTGGGTTCGACCCCACAGATGACTCGTGCTCGTTTATTCATTTCTATCCAAAAAAAAAAAAATGAGGTGTCACTGAAATACATTTCCCTTTCAAAAATCTATCTTAAATAGGATTTAAGATAAAAAACACAACTTAAGTCGCTCGATTTAAGATTTAAATCACATATAGAGTCACTCTATATGCATTACCTCTTTATATTTATGAGTTTGTAATTCAAAATAGTATGTGATCTAATGATTTATAAAGAATTAAAATGAATTCATCTAAAAATAAAGTTTACATGTCCTATTTATGGGTTTATTGCAGCTCAAAAATTCACTAGAAGAAGTGGTTTTTATGTCAAAAAACCTCAAATCAAATCATCTCCACCTTGAGATAATGGACATGAAAAAAATAGATGTCAAATCTTGTAATACATTATCTAGACCATCAATTTTGAAGATTTTCAAGAGTTCTTAGATTTGCTTGATATACGCTATTTTTGAAGCTTTGCATTTTATAATTCAAGATGAAAATAAATTGTCAGACTATCATGAAGATTTTTGGTTCCGAAACAACGTCTTTCAACACTATTTGAAAAGGTGTGGTTTATTTTGATTGTTTAGGGCCTCAACCTTATACAAACCATTCCCTTTTTTGATAGGATGCAGTTTCTATAAGGTCTAAGCTTTATGGAAAAAAAAAAAAGAAGAGTAAAGCCTCACCTCAAAACCATATCCGGCAAACACTTTGGGCATAAAAAGTCTCTAAGATGGCTCCAAAATCAATTTCCACTACTGATTATAAAATTTATAGCAAATCTTGCAGATATGTAAAAACTTGAAAATAGATAGTCCAGATAATATATTTATATAATTTTCAAGGTGATTGGTTTGAAAAGTTTTCAACACCATAACTGCAATTTTCGATAGATTTTGAGGCAAGGCTTTACTTAATATGATAGGGCTCCAGCCCTATAAAAATAATTTCCGTTTGTATATTCATGACTGTAGTAGTCAATATTATTTATTTGAGAAATTTTATATCCAAAATTCATCACTAAGATAAATTTTGAAAGGGACCACTTGAATCAATAAATCTATTCCGTAGCAAAACCTTATCCATCATAAAATTCTAAATAGTTAGGAAAAAATCACAAAGAAAAACAAGGGAAAATATCAATTAAGTTTAGAAACTCATGAAAACTCATTAAAGTGGTCAAATGATCACAATTTATTTGAGGGTTTACTTTTTATTTATCTTTCATTTTAATTTCAAATTACCCATTACAGGATTGGCAAGTTGTACTAATTAGGAGCATTTTAGTAATTTTATTCGAAGAAGAATCATTATAATAAAAATGGCCCTAAATTTTCAATAGGAAAAGTGCTTGGTGAGTCGGCCGACGCACTTTTTTTTTGCAGTCTTCCTACAAAAATATATCTCAAAAAAAATTTTTCGATCCAAAATTTTAGGATTCAATAATCTCAACCATTGCAATGATCTAAAATTGAAAATTTTATTTTTCTAAAAAATTATAAATGTTATTTCTTAAATGACGCAATTGGCATACAGATGCATCTGTAGTTGTAGAAGAAAGGTGCACGTTCAAATTTTATCATGGTATATAATTTTGATGTAAAATGTACTTAGGATTATCTCAAAATCGATTTTTATATCTAATTATAAAATTTTAAAAATCAAGTAGATCTATAAACATATGAAAATCTTGAAAATGGATGGTGTAGATAATATATTGTAAAATACATTATTTCTGAGACTTAAAATCTTTTTATTTTTCATGGTCATACATCTCGATGTCGAGATGATCAATCAAAGGATCTCTCAACATTAAAACTACCTTTTCCGATGGATTTTTGAGGTGCATCTGTAGTTCTACATTATAAGGTTGCATCCTTATATAAGCTTTTTCCTAAGATAAATGGGCCCACTATGATAATTTGGGTGGGCCCCACTATGTGCCATCTAAAGTGGCACGCCCCACCTTGAGGAGTTTTTAATTGAGGAGTTTTTAATTTGAACAACTCAAGCTCTTAGCTTGAGGGAAAAGAAAACTGTGTTTTGAACAGCTTGTGCCTTAAGGAAATTTTGAATCAATTTTTTATATGTGTGAGAAGACTTGAACATAAAATAAGAATCATAATATTATCATATATTAATTTTTTATTTAAATTAATTGATAGAAAAATAGTTTAGGAAGCAGGGGATAATAGTTCTAGTACATTCTATATGATCTTGATGGCCTATCTAAGAATGGACAATTCATATTTCTCATCCCATAAGTCACTCAAGATCAATGATGCATATTTAATCTCACATGAAGAGACAAGTCATGAAAAACTCTAAACAATCTTAAAAATCTTGATGTACTATTAAAAGGAACACCCTACCAAATATTCTCTACGCTTAAACTTTCTATCTCTCTTATACCCTACATAAGGGGCACGCCCCACTCTTAAAAATCTCTCTTAAAAAGTTTCCCTCTCACTCCCTTATGCAAATTAAGGGGCATGCCCTACTCTCTTGATCTCTTGGAGTTCTCTCATCTCTCCTATCTCGCATCGTGTGTTGGGGCTAAGGGTTTAGGGTCAATAGAAGAGAAGTATCTCTCAACTAGTTTATCACAAGCACCACAATTGAGCAAAGGGCAATCTGTGACATTTTCCAGCAAAGCATAGATAATTTTTTAAAAGATTTAAAATCTCGCACGTGATTGACTTTCTGCCTCGGAGAGAGCACGTCACAGCAGTGTAGACCTATGGGTACACACTGTAATGGGTGACATTTTTCCACCCACTTTCTCTTTAATCCACGCATTCTTTTTAGTTTCCGTACTCCTACCTGTTACCTATGTTTTCGGATGATTCATTAAAAATAGCGGGTGGTTAAACTAAGGGTCCTAACAATGAATTCCAACAAATATGTATGGACCAGCGGTTACTGCCACGTTCATATATATAGCTTTATATATATATATATATATATAGGGAAGGTACCCACCAAAATCGCCTCAAAGACACTAGGTAAAATATAGAACAAGATCGCTTGTTGTTGGTTTTTTTTATTGTTAATGTATATTTATGGGATGTGAAATTTGATAATTTTGAGTGTGTCACCAAGTTTGAGAAAAATTTATTTGAAGTTTGAGTTTCGTCAATGAAATAAATACAGCCATCTAATTTCACATCTAATGGACAAGATTAATTGTGACCACATTGTACTAAAGATAAATGGCCTCACTATATAATTTTCTATATTTTATTCCCCAAAATATGTACAATGAGTTATGGATAGAAGCCTAAAAAAGAACGCAAAAGGAAAAAGAAAAAAAAGTTTTACGTGGGCATACTAACCCTCAAACGTCCATATTAAAACGTCGTACAAAGGGTTTGGAACAAAAAGTCTACATGGAACTACCTAAAAGAAGGCAGATTTAAAATTTTAGAAATTTTATTTTTTTCATATTCATAATCACCTTGGCCTAGATCATAAATCCCTAGAAAATTTGGATAAAATATTAATCTTCAAGATAAATTTTAAAATGGGATGTATATTTACATTTGAGTCGGCTGACTTATAAAAACCTCATCCATAAAAAATAAGGGCACAAATATGATGCTCCATCTAGAGCATAGTTTACTTCTACTCCCTTGATCAGATGACCTACATGGGAGTATTTTTTCAACCTGAAATTTTAGT